GTGAGCGCGTTTGAGCGGGTGGTCGAGTCGTAGACGGAGAGCGGAGTGCACTTACTTGCGGGAAAGACGTCGGCGGTGAGCTCGGTGAGCGAGTGGTCGAGGTCGTAGACGGAGAGCGAGTGCACTTACTTGGGGGAAAGACGTCGGCGGTGAGCTCGTGGCGAGTGGTCGAGGTCGTAGACGGAGAGCGAGTGCACTTACTTGGGGAAAGACGGTCGGCGGTGAGCTCGGTGAGCGAGTGGTCGAGGTCGTAGAACGGAGAGCGAGTGGCGCTTTACTTGCGGAAAGACGTCGGGTGAGCGTCGGTGAGCGAGTGGTCGAGTCGTAGACGGAGAGCGAGTGAACTTACTTGCGGGAAAGACGTCGGCGGTGAGCTCGGTGAGCGAGTGGTCGAGGGTCGTAGACGGAGAGCGAGTGCACTTACTTGGGGGAAAGAGGCGGCGGTGAGCTCGGTGAGCGAGTGGTCGAGTCGTAGACGGAGAGCGAGTGCACTTACTTGGGGGAAAGACGTCGGCAGTGAGCTCGGTGAGCGAGTGGTCGAGGTCGTAGACGGAGAGCGAGTGCACTTACTTGGGGAAGAGTCGGCGGTGAGCTGGTGAGCGAGTGGTCGAGTCGTAGACGGAGAGCGAGTGCACTTTCTTGGGGGAAAGACGTCGGCGGTGAGCTTGGTGAGCGAGTGGTCGTAGGTCGTAGACGGAGAGGAGTGACTTACTTGGGGGAAAGACGTCGGCGGTGAGCTCGGTGAGCGAGTGGCGAGTCGTAGACGGAGAAGCGAGTTGCACTTACTTGCGGGAAAGACGGTCGGCGGTGAGCTCGGTGAGCAGTGTTCGAGGTCGTAGACGGAGAGCGAGTGCACGGGCCCGGCCGGACCCCCAAGACCGACGCCTGCCGAACGCGCGCTTGGCCCGACGCGCCCGGCATCGAGGAACAGCCGTCCCTCGACTGTGTAGGGGCGGCGGCCGCGGGTCGTCTGCGGCTGGCTATTGGCCTCCGCCCCGGGGTCCGCGGCAGCGCCGCGTCGGCCGGCGGCACGCGGCGCCAGCAGCCAAGACAGCGGCAGCAGCAAGGACGGCAGCGCGCCTACAGTCCAGCCTCAGAGGGCGGGGGGCGGGCGCAGCGGGTGGGCGCCGCTTACGATGGGCGCGGGCGGCGGCGCGGGCGGCGGGGCAGCGGAGGCCGCGGTCATCTCACGGCCATCGCGACCCGCGAGGGTGCGCCACTGCAGCGCAGGAACTGCGAACAAAAGAAATATCATTTAGTTTGACGTCATACAGTGCATTATAGCAGTACGCATTTCTGGGAGTGGTTTGGTTAATTTGCGGCATCATACACACGAGCCGTAAGAATTCCCAATTTACGTTGAAAATCAATTTATTTTCAATGACCAGTAGTTGCTAACATATATTTTTTTCCTTTTCTTTTCAATTTACATATCAATTCCAGATGTTTGACGTGATACCCATCCGGGACGTTTTATTATCTAAATGTGTTTGGATATTCAAGAATATTACGGTTGTGAAGATGAAATGCTACTTTTAAGCCATCGCTTATAAGTATAACATTAATCGTCTTAATAGAATAAAACTAAGAAACTAATATGTTTTTCACGAACATCTTATACAATATAATGAATAAACTCATGTATTTGTTGATTAATTATATTCAATAATAATAAAAGAATAACAAAATTATTTGAAGGAGTTTCATACGTATACAAAAATGCTATATAAGGAGTAATAAAAAAGGTATGCAGAAAATAACTTTTGTCACTATCGGAAGTTGTGTAAAACCCGTGATCTGTTCATCAATAGAAAAAGCAAAGTCTCATTTCATATCTTTATTAAAGAAACGCACTACATCCTCCTGTAGAGCAGCTGCTGGGATTCAAGATGAAAAAGTCTGCGTCAAATAATGCCTATGACGAAACTACATCTGAATTTTCTATTCATTTTGTCTGTTACGCTGTAATTAACGAATATGAAAGCAATAGATCCATATCAATGCTTGCTTGTTTGAAGAATCTACAAACAGTAATCAACAAAGATTCGATTTCATAGAATGTGGTATTTTGTGAAATACCAACATGTACATACGCACACGTACACTTCATTGACGATAAGTATGAGTAGAGAAAAATAGAAACAAAAATTATATACTCCTTGTAAAATACAAAAATGAGAATCAAAATACCCTAATTAAAACTCATTAATATGAAAGTTAGTGCAGCACGTAATAAATAAACTTTGACAGAGGCATAAAATACTAAAGAATACAAAAATCGCTTGATTAATTGTCCATAAAAGAAAAATGTTCTAATGATGTTTGTTATTTGCAACTGCAGTAGTAATACTAATAGTACATTTTAATTGAAAATCAAATTACCTTTATTGTAGAGTAATTTTAATTTTAAACGCGAACAAATAAGAATGTACTTAACAGCTTTTAAAAAAATATTTTTTTTTAAAAAAAGCAATGTTTGCGTTTCTTTGGTGTAATCAATGTTTCCATTTATATTCAATAGATCTATGGTCTCTTAGCTCTTCATGTACTTTGCTGTCAATAAAACTGAGAATGAAATCTGATATTCATTATTTTGTCATGTTATTGTCTCAAAATATATGGTCAGCTTAGATATCAGTACTTTGATTAGGAATTTTCAGCACTAAAAAATGTATTTACATTAATAACTACGTAAATATTTCTATAAGAATAAATATACCAAATTTTTAAACAAAATCATCAATCAACACATTCCACGATTTTCTCTTCGATAAATACAATTTCATAGCGGCTTTGTAATTAATTCAAGGACATACAACCCCACCTAGAATTTTGAAAGAAAGAGATTAACGCAATTTCATAATTCATTCTATAATTCACAAATTTACAAGTGTCAGATTAGAGTTATTGTATGCATGCATTAGAGATTGTTTTTTCTGAAAACAGCACTGAAATATATACATCATCTCACACCGTGACTTGAAACGTCACTTGACTCTAACGTGACTTGAAACGTAGATGATTCACAAAGATGAGCTTACTAGTTAACAAGCACGCGGCTTAATCTCCCAGTTGTCGCCATCAACTAATCCAATTGTAAGCGATTCACTGTGGATCTCTGCTAAATAAACCTAAGAGCAGAAATAAAGCTCCCCAACTATTTATGGACATGAGTAGCTCACATCCCGTCACGGAGGAATTAAAGAATTAGTTTTACTTTCTCGCCCACCACTTACACAGTATTGAGAAAGGATTGTAATGGTGCGGGAAAAACAGTCATTTTTCGGCAGAAAAACTCTTATTGCCGGTCCCTGGTAACAAAAAGGTGGATAAATTCAGTTTCCATATTTTAATCGCACAGTTTCATGAGCTAGTAATAATTTAATTTTTATTATAAAAAAGAAGCCCTTCAGCAGCGGGGAAAATGAAATGATTCACGCCTCGCTATGCGAAACGCCGAGGAATGTTCCATGAACATGGACAAAAGTTGTGTGCGGGCGGCCACCTGCTCCGGTGCGACGAGCTCACACCCTTCAGTAATCGCAAGGAATGTGGACGATGTGTCCGCAGATAGATATGCGGGCGGATGAGCGAAGCAGAGCCCCGTGTCACGGGCCATTTCAGGAAGGCGTTGTCAGGTGGCGCCAGCAGCCGCGAAGAGCCAAGGCCACGGGACCGGGGGCAGCCACTTAATAGGATTCCTTATTTTAGCGTAGTGGAGGGGAGGCAGAAGGAATTATGGGTAGGCCCACCATTACTGCCCATCATGGTGGACCGCTCTACAGCGACGTTTGAAAAAAAAAATAGAAAGTCAGTCTTCCAAATCTGCTGCCATCTGACGATAGTTCTGAGCGAATACTCAAAATTGACCCTAAAGGCTCCGAATTTTGAATTTGTTGTACATCCGTCTCTCGGTTTCACGTTCGGCAGTTTATGTTCCAAATTTTTAACCAGGTTTTGAGGGAAAATGCCGAATTTCCGTCGTTGTTCGCTTCCCACCATATTAACCTAATGGGAGACAAGGAAAATACAAGACTTACAAAGGAATGAATATTTTGCATCATTGTTAAGAATGGTTTCATATTATTAGGATAATTATTAACAATATTGCCGTGGTTACTGTATTATCGTTCCCTTCATTTTTATAGAGCCCTATTATTTTCGTTTGCTATAACACTAAATTTAGTATTTAGCAATTTATAGAGTACAACTTTTGTTATAGGTTTATGAAATGGCTAATAGGAATTATGACCTAACACTAGCTTCTTGTTCACGGAGGAAATGAACAAAAGGAGGTACATGTGCAGAGCGCACATCTTGCCAGAAATGGTGACTGCAAAATAAGTGTGTTTGTAACGCAGACTCCAGTAAAATTTCCTGACAACGCCCTAAAGGAGCGTCCAGGACATTTAGAGAAAGCATTCTAGTAAACAAGAGTAAGTTACATGCTTTGAGCAATTATGATATGTCGTAATAAAAAAAGCATTCGTCTCTTTACGATTTGCAGGACCTGTCCCACACGTTGCAGCTAACATACATTTCGGCTTCCTTGCATGACCTGGTAAGTACAGAAACCTTGGTTTATGAAGATGAGGAAGCGCTACGCATCTTGAATTTCAATAACGCCTCTTTTTGTATTAGAGACGGCTCCCTACCTGCTGAAAAAAAAGAGTACAGGACATTTTGGAGGTAGTCCCAATCATCCCAATTCATCCCAATACATAATAATGATTCCAATAAATAATTGCCATTTGAATTTCAAGTGATATGTCATAGTATGTAGTGTTGCTCATGGTCTATTCAGATCCATAATTGTCTGCTCAGAAATAAGTTTTTAAAACTTAGTATTTCTGTAAAAGTATTCTTCCACCAACCATATGGGCTGACGTTTGAGCTGCAGCGGGAGTGTGAAGAGTGCATATTGTAATGCCGATCGCTACGTCGGGATATGTCGGGCGCCAGGTTCAGTTCCTGTAACGAATGGATGGAAGTGAAGGGAGGTCATAAATCAGTCCATTGAATCGTTTCTAACAAACTGGAATTTATTCCTGGCACCATGAGCTGCCAGGGAAGTTACAGGTCACTAGAGAGCGACACAGATTACTTGCTAACCTTACGTTACGAGCTTATAACCTTAACAGTTAATGAACAAATTTCTTAAAACCAACATTAATGACGTATTTCTAATAATTCATGCATGTTTTTAACTACAATACACAAGGCCTGAGCGCGGCCACTCTTAGTCTCTCGCCAAAATGTCCTGCAAGGTAGCCCCGCGTCATAACTACGGGAGATAATTCGACTTCGGTTAAATACCGGATAATTCACCACTGGCTGGCGGTGGCTCCGCAGACCGGCCGGATGGCGGTCCTCATTCGAAGACGGCGGGCGGCCACCGACCTCCCACTGGGTGTTCTTCCTCAGCTGGCAGCGTGGCGTGGCAGCGGAGTCGTCAAATCGTGCGGACTCAGTCAGTTGAGGACACACAGGTACTGGCCGTGGTTTTGTGCGGGCTTGAATGGGCCCGATATGGCACTAGGCGGCGGATGCAGATCATCTTACGCGAAAGTTACGCGGGATCTTGCCATCTCCCGCCCAAGTTTCCTCCGCGGTAATTTTAAAAGTGCTTATTCGAGTATCTGCTTGATAAGTGCCTATTCGAGAACCTGAATTCTAAGTTTAGTTTATCTGCACATCTCGCGTCCAAGTTACCTCCGTTTCCCCCTTCCCAAAACGTTTCCGAACCTGCAGATCTGCCCCTTCCCTCACGATGAGACGTCCCAAAGGCATAAACTAAATGCGTCTTAATTTTGAAGTTCTCCAATCGGGTTGCATCGTTTACGAAATTTTCCAGGGAGATCTTCTTTCTACCTCGGGCTTCTCCTCTTCCTCTCGTCTCTTTCTCTCCTCATCTCCTTCCTCTCTCTCTGTGAGCGATTCAGAAGCTTTCCCGGCAGTGTCAGAACAATTGTGAGCGGTTGCGTTTTTTTTTTCCTGGGCCATAAATTCGTCAGCGGAGACTGATGGCCAGGCCGCCGACTGTTGAGCTGTAAATTTAACCTTTGGGAATTTTGGAGTTCCTCTCGCGGGGCGCGCGTGCGGCAGCGGCGCGCGGGCGCGTATTGTTTTGTCTTGCGTGCAGGTGGCTTCGCGAACCGGGTGGTGAACGAGCTGTATATGACGGTGATAAATGTTTCCGCTACTCAAGTGACCCCTCAACCCGCAGTTAGGTCGGGCAGCTGTCAATTGCGCGTCCGCGGCCGTGGCGGTCTGTTAGGGTCGTTCCTCGAACAAAAGCCCCGTCCGCGACCTACTTAACTGTGATGGGAGCTATTTCGATATGAAATTATTATAATATTATTTGGTGACGCCACAATATAGTGAATTCTAGTGTGATAGATGTGCATATGGTGATTCTAGTGCATACGAGTGAATTCTGTGCATATAGTTGGAGGTTAGGAGTAGTTTTTACGAATGATTTACGTTATTCCAATATCATTCCTAAAAATAATATTTTAAGAATTTACACGAGTCATGTTGAAAAGATGAGAACATGTTAGCAAGTGAATTAAGAAACGGAAGTAACAGATAAACCATAAATACTACATTTTAAAGTGCCCAAGATGCTTACTTTTATAAAAGGCTTTTTATGGAGCAAAATTTTTATCACAGAATTATGCACGTAAATAATAGACAAATGGATGCATTTGTAAGTGCAATTTCACTCAATTTGGTTAGTAATCAATGTGTAAAAAAAATCACTTGCTTGACAGAACAGGCTCATGTTCTGTGAAAACAATTCTACACCTAATAGAAAATATGATTATGTAATTCTCAGTGTATGATGTGATATTATGAGTAACATTCATTGGTCAAATTGTTGTGCTTTTGGAAAATTAATATATTGTCGGAATGCTAATTTACCAATGGAAAAATTGTTTTGTGATAAATCAATTTGAAATAGATTCTGTTAAATCTACTCCATATCTTTTCCAACATAAGGCATAATGTGTCTTCTTATATTTCGTAACACATTGTATGATGAATTTTTTCCTGCACATCTTAACTGCGGGACTTCAATATTTCACTAATCAAAAGAATAGACGAAATCTGCCTTGGTAATGTAAATAAATCAGAAACATACTTCATTAACTAGGTGAGTTTCCTTGCGTACACATAATATGTATCAAATTCAGGGCAATTCTGTTTTGCACAAAAAGTAAAAGAATGTAATTTCGCATGTGATTTCGGTTTTGTTATGAGCAATCTTAACTATTTTTCTTATCTGTTTGTGTTGTGGACTATGTAAATAGCTCTTGGTATAATAGTTTGCCAGGAAATGTACACTATTTTCTAAACGTATTTTTTCACAACTGTCTTTGAGGTTGCGAAATATTGCTTAGATAAATTGGGAGAGCATTAGCAGATACTGCAACGAATATCGCTCTTTTTTAACGAAAATGTTCATCAGACGACACTGTTTTGAAAAAGAAACGATACATAATTGACAAAGGTACAGGGAATTGCCAGTATCCGAATCGAACTTTGAATCTGCCCAACACATTTTACTTTAGCGTCAGTGCACTGCAAACTGCTCGCGGCTCATGATAATGCGACTCCGCTGCGTCTACAGTGGAAAGAGTTGGATTCTGAGAAATGACAACGGCATGTAATTCGTCGGGGCCGCCCAGATCGCTGGTGCGATCTTTTGGTGACGCTCCGAACCAACCGGAGGCAGTTGACAATCGACGTCAAAGAACTTTGTACGAAAGAAATTAGTATTTGGTCAGCTGGGAAGAAATTCGCTTTTCGAGTAAAATAATGAACGCGGGAAGTTTGAAATGTATGATCTTTTCTTCTTAAATGCTTTAAGAGATAATAATTTCTTCCACAACCTCACAATTATAAATCTTTTTAGAATTATTGACTTCCATATAACTTACGCACTAATTTCACACAAAATAGATTGTATTCTATAACTATGTTAGCCATATTGAAAAATTGCTATATAATGTAATTTCAAATGCCCCGGTTTACGCCTGCCCTCCATTTCAATTGGTAGACCCCCTTTCGACGCTTATTGGTTGGTGAGGCGCCCGGTGGTCCTTTTTTTTTTCAAATTCTCCGATATGTTTTTTCTCGAAAGTTTTACCGAGTAAATCTGATTCAACGTTTACCGAGCTTCTGAAAAGTAGTGCTCCCTTTAATCGGCAGCTGAGTTTCTCGAGAACGCATTAGCGTCCAGCCGCTCCAAGGGAGGTGGCGTCTCCCCGGGAACGTTGTTCGCGCGAACGGGCCACCTCGCCGCCGGATCAGACTATTGAGGCCGCTGCGTCCACGCGAATCTACGGAGCCCGGACAGCGTCAAGACGGCGCCTGGATGAACAAAACGGTCAGATTGCCTCGAGAGGAGAGGGAAAGAGATTCTTTGAAATTCGCTTCGCTAATTCTTCGAAATATTTAAATGTAAATTAGTAAGTCTCAACAGCCATTAAATTCTTGTAATCTAACGCGGTAGCACGAGTAGCAATCCCAGTTCGTTAACAAAGAAGTGTACAAATTATTAAGAATGTAACTAGTTTACCTAATTTTTCGAGAAATCTTTGTTAAGGCATAAAA